CCGCCCGCGCAGCCGGTTAAGTAGATTTAGATGGCGCCGAGTAAGTCTTCTCCACTCAAGGATATGGAGGGTGTGTTAATGACGTTCTTATGTTACGCGCGTCTGCCACTCGCTAATGGGGGATTTTCGATCCGTCAAATTATGGAAATTTTCACATTTTGAGCACCATCTAAGCATGCCACTGTTTTCCTCCCCTAAGCGGCTGGTCCATGTAAGCAGCTCTCAAGGAGCTTCTTGCTGTTGCACTATGCTCCGCAATCAAATAGATATAGAAAAGATCTGGGAGAACTGCACTGGTGGAAGGTAGGAATCTCAGTTACGAGGAAGATAATGAGTGGATTGATGACGCAAAATCAAGTTTCCTATGATACGCTATAAATGATCTACTTGATTCTCTTGATCCGCTTCGCTGTTAGTCAAAGCAGTGAAATGATTGACAGCGAAATAGATGAAACGGAATAAGTGGTCATCCGCTTCGCTATTGGTTATTATAATGCTTGAACACTTAGTATGAGGATCAAGTGGATACAGTGAATCAAGTATGGCGTGGACCTGTAAATTGTGAAACAATGTAAGCGAACGCCCCAAGCGAACACTTGCGAGACGCCTGTAACATCGCCAACGCTATCAGCAACTGCCAGCAGAAGGATTTGGAATAATAATATTATATTAATAATATTTGGAATTATATGGAAGCGCTTAAGAAAATCGAAACAAAAACGTGATAAATCGAGTGTATCTACCGTTGATCAAACTCAAGTCCGTCGTTGTCGAGCGGAATGCGTGTGAGATATGAATGGATCAAGATCCGGGCTTTCAGTGAATATGGAAGTGATAGTGGTCTTTCCTTCTTGTTCTCTCCAAGGTTCGGAAGTGATTTCATACGCCTGCAACAAACTTTGTAGTCGATTAAGAGAGACACACATTGTATGTACCTGGTAAGCTCCACGTCATCTGTCTCTCTTTCAACGATGTCCTTATTATATTGTTTCCAAAACTCGAACGATCCTCCCAGTAACATCAACATCCCTAAAATAACAATCGAAGAAAAAAATGAGATTTCAGAAACCTTAGAAAACGATTTAAAAAATGACACTAGCAACGCACGGTTTATTTCCATTTTTGGTGTTTTGTGCAAAAAATAGTAATAGAGCTGTGTAGTATCGAGTAGAACCTTGTCAACATTATACTTGATTGAATTATACCACCATATCCCCTACAATCATACCATTAGAAAAAGGAGAGATCTATTGCCAGAAAAAACTCACCACAACCACCGGCAAAACAACCATGAATAGGAGTCCATAAAAGGCAAGTACCCATAAACCGTATTCTTTGCTCACAAGCCATTTCGGTAGAGCGATTCCAAATGTAGTAGCTTAAAAAGATACATGAAGCTTGGTGATAAGGAAGCCAAAAGACTCAAATCACAGTTACCTGTTGGTCCGTCCGGATTCCCATACTTTTCCCAGTTTTCTCTTGATTCTTCATCAGTGAGAGCCTGATATGCCTTGGCAATCTTGTCGAACATCTGTGCATCTCCTCCTCGGTCAGGATGCATTTTCTTGGAAAGCTCGCGGTAGGCTTTTCTCACCGCTGCTGTATCAGCGCCCTGACAGAATAATTTGAACGGTGTAGTATTCAGAATAAATATACTTACCTGATCCAAACCTAATATTTGATATGGATTATACTCTTGATAAGTGACTTCAATTTCCGTAACCTTTTTTACAATTAGTGCAAAAACTATCCATGCAATCACTAGCGCCTAAAGACATATGAATGAAAAATGCCGAAGCGATCTGTTTTCACACACCACAACTGTTAGTATGGTTTTCGTAAGTTTCCATGGTCTATTCGCTGCTTTCAACTGACGTTTTCTTGCGCATCCAACACATTGACATTCGCGTTCGTCAACTTCAACTACTTCTGAAGAAAACTTTATAAATGCGAGATGCTCACCGCATGACGTTAGGATGTGCCTGAACACTACTCACCTGTTTTGCCAGTAGGAAAGAAGAGGTACGTCACCGGAATCAAGATGATTGCGTAAAAAGAGACCAAGACGTAATAAAACGTGTTCCCCACTTCATCGTACTCGAACGAAGCCCGTCCCATAGTCTTCAATGGTGACAGATGAGAGAAGAAGAATTGCACGAGTGTACAGATTTTATATTCACGAGCTGTAATTATGCAAACTCAGGTCCGCATGCAAAACATCCCAGCCGGAGAGAAGGTGCAGATCACAGAAAGCTTCGTACCGAAGCTTTGAAAATTTTACGCTTTTTACTTATCCCCAAGCATTTTTACTATCCTCTATTACTATAGACATACTAAAACAAAAGCGAACTGCCGTACAAGCCGCATCTAGCAACTTGTATGATCCTCCACAATGCCCAGCGGGCAGTCGCCCGGTCTTCAAAGCCAATTTTCTTTCCTTGAAGCTTATGAAAACATCCCAGAGGTGTGCTGGTACTTTTCTATTCCAATGAGTATGTAGGTATAAATGATAATTTAGTAGGCTCAAATGTAGATTCAATGAGTAGAAAAACGAAACCCGCCCATTTCGGCCGCCTCCGTAGGCAGCTGGTCCTGTACGATCTTGCTTCGTGTCGCTTGAGGACCAGTGCTGTGGGGGCCTAAAATGGGGGAAGTCTATCAACTATCCATTTGAGATAATGAAACTTCGATGATGCACAGCACAAAATCCGTGGTTTTTCACATTTTCCACCATTTCGGATCTTCATTTATGCTATCAGAAACATGCTTAGCATTGCCGATTAGATAATCAGCAAACTTTGAGAGGTCCATTAACTCCGCAAAGATTAAAATGTCTTGCAGAAAAGATGGCTCGGAAAAGACTGGCAAAAAGACAAAAAAAATGGCGAACTGAGCTTGTACAAGTTCTCACCCTAGAGGTGCGCCAAAGCTCTCACACCACGTCTTACCCTT